TAAATGAACCGGTGAATAAATAACAATAGTTATTTCTGTAAAGTTGAATTAGTATTTCTGACATGGACCCAGAAGTTCTACCTCTCAGACTCATTTTTCCAATAACTGGCTCCTCTCTGGTCTCTGTAACTTAGTCACATTGGTATTTGGAAGTGTCCCTGTGTTGTGCTCACAGCCCTAGACACTGGGGATAAAACTATGTATGCAGGAAGGTATGCACAGTCTTTGGTTTTAGAGAAATGATCACACAAGCACACAAATGTAAAACTGCAGCTGTTTTGCGTAAGGGAGGGGATTTATGATTCAGTTTATAGGAAGAGGAGCTGAACAAATGGAAGCCATCGGGAGCAGCTTCGACGGAGAAGGGAAGACAGGGTGCATTGGTTCATCCCTAAGTGCTGAGCAGATACGTGCTAGGCAAAGATGAGAGACTGGAGGGGTTCCAGCAGAGGGCGGGAGCATGTGCAAATGCACTTAGATGAGAGAGAATTGTGGGGAGTAGGAGAATGGTTGACCTCCCGAGGAGGAGCTCAGGATATGCCCAGGAGACCTTAAAGAAGCTTTGCTAGGTTCTGGATTCTCTAGGACAAGGGCGGTGCAAAGCCACCAGAGGCTTTTCAGCAGAGGAGGCTCTGTAGTCAGAGAAGGGCTCTTATCCTTCGGTCTGTTCTCCTCTTTAGTTATCTACATTGGAAATGGATGCCACCCTTCTGGTACAGTTTGCTTAGACCGTGCAGGTTTCAGGACAGGCGCCATCTTTAAAAAGAACAGGTACAGGAGGCTGGGGAGGTGGCTCAGTGGGTACAGTGCTTGTTACACAGTCATGAGGACCTGAGTTCAGATCCTCGGTATGCAGGTCGAACACATAGGCCGCTGACCCCCGCACTGGGAAGGGAGGAGACAGGCAGACTGGGGGGGGGGGGGGGGGCTCAGCCAGTCTCGATGAAGCTGGTGTGCTTAAGGTTCAGTGAAAATGAACCTGTCTCAAAAAATGTAAGCTGGCAGATTCCAAGTGTAGAACTCTTGTTTTCCCACATAAGGGTGAGTGTATAAACACAAATACGTCACACACACACACACAAATGTGCACATAAAATCAGCATATGTATCTAAAAGAGGACAACCACAGAATGAAAAATGAACACAAGATAGGTCTTGTGTTCAAGACAAGGATTTATAACATCTATTTTCTAAATTAAATATGCCTAACAACAACAAAAATAGTAAATCCCTCCAAACTTTTCCATTAATTGGATTAATTTTTTAAAATGCAACAAAGAACTACCCACCAAAAAGCATCAGACATATAGAAGACTAGATAACCACAGGAAGGCTTTCTACCCAGCATGCTATATCTTGAACTCTGAACTGTGTGGTAGGGAGCCTACTGCTTCCATGAGAAAACACTCCATGGGCCTTGTCTACTGGGACATCATCTTGCCTGTATTAATAACTCCTTGGTTCTCTCATGATAAGGACTGTATGTTGACTGCATGCTGAAAATCACCCACTGTAAAGGCTATTATTATTTCGGACCCACTCCTCAGCTTAGGATGGCTGGCCTATGATGTTCAGGTTACTATCAGCTCTTCCCAATCCCCCTCATGTCTTGGTTATATTTCCTTGACTTTCAAGCCACTTGACTGGACCACAAAAATGACATTGTGGTGGCCACAGTTGATTGTATACTTAGACGTTACTAGGAAAGCAGACTTTAAGTATTCCCAGCCCTCAAGTTATAAGTATATGAGAATGCAGGCAAGTTAATTAGCTTGATTTCAAAATTTCACAATAGGCTCAAAGAGATGGCTGAGTGATTAAGAAGACAGATTGCTCTTCCAAGAGGGCCAGGGTTCAATTCTCAACACCACAAGGCAGCTCACAACCATCTGTAATTCCAGTTCCTGGGGACCCAACACCTTATTCTTGCCTCCCTGGGCACAGACACATACAGGCAAAACACCCATACATGTAAAATAAAAGATAGAATTAAAGTGTGTGTGTGTGTGTGTGTGTGTGTGTGTGTGTGTGTGTGTGTGTGTGTAATGCTGTACATGATACACTTGTGCAATTTTTACTTGTCAAATATACTTCATTAACTTTAGGGGAAATACATAGCTGACTTCAAAATAATTTTCCGGTGTTTTCGTTTTTTGTTATCGCGCATGCCTATGGGTGATGTATGTGGGGCCACACACATGCCGCAGTGCGCACGTGGCGGGCAGAGGACAGCTTAGCGGGCTTGACGCTCTCCTTCCACTTTTTTTGTACGTTCCAGAGATTCACACTGCGAGCATTTTACCTGCTGGGCCATCACATCGGCTCCCATCCAAGCAATCTTTTTTTCTTTTTTCTTTTTCTTTCGTTTTTCGAGACAGGGTTTCCCTGTGTAGCTTTGCGCCTTTCCTGGATCTCGCGCTGTAGACCAGGTTGGCCTCGAACTCACAGAGAGATCCACCTGCCTCTGCCTCCCGAGGGCTGGGATTAAAGGCGTGCGCCACCACTGCCCGGCAGCAATCTTTTTCTAAACAATTTATTTTTATTCATGTGTCTGTGTGTGTAGCTGTGTGTCTGCTGCAGGCGTGTAGGTGCCCACAAGGGTCAGAGGAGGGGGCTGGGTTCTCTGAAGCTGGAGTTACATCCACCTAAGAGTTCTGGGAACCGCACTTGGGGCCTCTGGTAAAGCAGTAAGTGCTTTTAATAAGTGAACTGCCTCCCCAGCCCCACAAAAATAACGTCAGTAGAGGAAAACACTTGCTAGACTCCAGATTAAGCATTTCTTTTTACATATTTTACATATTTATATTCACCTGCCCCCACCCTTTTCTTCTTCAATACAGTCTTACCGTGTAGCCCTGGCTAGACTGGTACTCACAAAGATCCACCTGCCTCTGCCTCCTAAATGCTGGGATTAAAGGCGTGCGCCACCAAGCCCCCTATTGTTAATACTAATTCTTGATAAATTATACACAAAAAGTTTAAACATCAATTTGGAATCACTTGTTATATTCTGTTGATCTACTACATTGTTAAATATACTTCTCAGCATATATCAATGTTGTTAACAAGTTCACAGTCTTGCAAACCATGAACCACACTTAAAGTCATCTCAGGGTTCCCTGTGGTTATGAATGTTTGCCTGGCTTTGAACCTTGTAGACAGATTTTACAGTCTGCAGGGGAATCTGAAGGAAAAAATCAACCTTCCTCAAAATCATCTCTCATTAGATCTCAATGCAAGTTGTAGGGATAAAGCTCTTTTGTACATATATCAGATATTTGGAAGATTCTGTCAGACAAACCAAAGAGATACTGAAGGGCTGCGTTAAGACAAGGATTGCCAGGAGGGACCCCTTACTTTAAAGATTTTCCAATATGGTTATATTTGGTGCCATTTTATCCTTCTTGCTCTTCTGGTCAAAATGGTTTGTTGCACCTTTTTAGTTGAAAGTGAAAAAAAATCAGTTATATAATATTTTTAGCTTTTCTTCTGGTCTCCCCCACCAAAAATTAATCATCTTGTAATCAAAGAAGGATTTACTCTTCCAGCTGCGAGCTCCTACAAGGATGTGCAGAGATTTACCTTCTCTCTGTTCTCCACAAACTTGCAGATGAGGGAAGCGGACAGGATATTAGCCCCTAAAGTAGCCATGTCTTGGAACCTGTGATTTATGTCTCCTAGCACTTCCGTCAAGAATCCAGGCTGCTGTCAGTGGGGTTCAGATTGCTAAACAATTAGCTTTAAAGTGGAGAGATTATTCCCGATAACCCAGGTAAACCAATGCAATCTCCTAAATCCTTAGAAGTGCCACAGGGAGGCAGATCAGAAGGTAAGAGTCTCCCATGGGAGACTCAGTTTCACATTACTGGCTTTGAAGATAAGGGTGGCTGTGAGTGTCAGAACCTGGGCAGCCTTGGAAGCTGGGAAAGGTAAGGAAGTGAATTCTCTCACTCAGCCTGCCCAAAGGAATGTGTCTTGGCAACAGCTGATTTTTCCCTCAACAAAAGGCATTTTGGACTTTTGACCCCCAACACTAAGACCAACGTGTGATGTTTTACACCATTAAATCTGTGTTACATTCTCACAGCTGCAGTAGGCAAGTAGTACAGTGAGTTTGGCATACTCGGTTTTTTTTTTTTTTTTTTTAAACAATGGAAACTGAAGCAATCAAAGTAAATTTGGAATGCTCCTCTCTTGGGAGAATGGCAGGACTCCTAAATTTATGCAGCACTCTTGCTCCAAGAGATTACTGATGGGGATGCTAATATTTTCTTTATAAAATAACCAATTTTTTAATTATTCCTCAATTGCGTGTAAAAATATTGAAGTGCTTTTGGAAAATCAAGGACATACTTGTTTGGCATATTTTTTTTTAAGGCAGTATATCCAAGGTTCTGGATTTAAATCATCTCTGTTACTTGGCTATTTGGGAAGATTAACCTCTTGAGGCTACTTCTTTATCTGTAAAATGGGAAACACACACACACACGCGCACGCACGCACTAGGTCCATGGAAAAGATTTAAAGAGATAATTTATGCATAGTTGTTGCGCAACACCACATACGTAATAAAGGAGTCATCATATGGCGGTGTTAGCTATTACTATGACCGTTTGCATTATCGTTCCGATTTTACAAATTTTCCTGACCAAAAAGTGGACCTTTCAAAACCCTTGCTGTGAGGGACAGCTCGCACATTTAGTAACTTCTTTCAATTTTGTTTTCTAAAGGCACTGGAGTAAACTCTTGAAAACAACATCTCCCTTAGTAACATTTAACCCTGAGTCATTCATTTTCTCACTAAAGTAACTGAGGAGAGAAAGAAAAAAAAGAAAGAAAGAAAAGAAGACTGGTTAAGACAATGGCTAAACCATAGATTGTAATTAAACTTTTTTTTGTTGGTTCTATTATTTTGTTGCGGGGCGGGGGGAAGTCTCTGCTGCGAACCAGGTGAAATCTGCCGCGCAGCGCCTCTTCACCCTAACAGACGGAGCTGGGACCCTCTCCGGAACACGAGGTGCAACCACGGTCCCCCCCGGTCCCCCCGGCGGTGGTGCGAGCTGAGCCTGCTGCAGAGCTGAGCCCCGCGCTGCGCCGGCGACCGCTGCAGGTTGTGCAGCTGTGTCCGAGACGCCCCGCGCGCCCGTGGACTCTGGCCAGTCCCCAGGCCGGGGACGCACGAGGCCCGATCTGTCCAACCTCTGGGACGATCCCCGCCCTCCTGCGCGGGCGGTTCGCCTCCAGGAGGCTCCGGAAGGGAAGGAGGCGTGTCCGGAGCGGGCGGGCGAGCAGGAGCTGTATAAAAAGCCCTGGCGGCGCAGCAGCCCGGGCTTCACTTGCTGTCTGTCACTGGGACCGGGAGTGCTGCGGGAAAGCAAACGGCCGAGGACAGGGCTCTGCGCTCGGGCTACCCAATGCTGGGACTATCTGCAGCCGCTGCTCGTGCAATATGCTGGAGCTCCAGAACAGCTAAACGGAGTCGCCACACCGCTGCCTGGGCTGGATCGCAGCGCTGCCTTTCCTTATGAAGAAGACACAAGTGAGTAGGGGCACGCCCGGGAGGAGCCCGAAAGGCTTTCCAAGAAAATCGCGCCCGGAGCCCCAGGGAGCCCGGCGCGCCCTGGGACCGGCAGCCGGGCCATGTGGGGCTGCGCCCGCCGGGTGAGCCAGGAAGGTGCGGGGGAGGCAGGCGTGGTGTGCGAGCCCGAGCCTCCCTGCTCTGGGGTGTGTGTGTGTGTTTAGAGAGGGGGGATGAGCCCGGGAGCTGGGGAGCGCCACGGGTGAGAGGGAGCGGGTGGCAAGTTTGCAGCCGCCGCAGCGAAGTTTGGAGCTGTCAGTCGCAAACCGCAGCTTGCAGGCTTCGCTCTTCGGCCTGGGAGTTAGAGTTATCACGGGGGAAGGCTTGTTTTTTGCACGGGAGGTCTTTCCCCGTGGATTCGGGGAGATTATGAAACAGCTTCCCACGCGCCACCCTCGCTCGCTCGCTCGCTCGCGCAGTCAGATTTATCTGTGCGGTCCCCAGGTGGGCGCGGGACGCGGTGCGGACGCGGGTGCAGCCGCTGGAGTGACGCCAAGCCAGAGCTCCTAGGCGGCAGCGCCAGGCGGGGTGAAGAACCTGCCCGGCAGGCGGGGAAAACTTGGCAGCCTGAGAAGTCGGCCGGGTTCACAGCTCTGGGTGGGCCCTCCAGAAAGCTCTAGATGGAGTAGTAGTACTTCCACACTGCATGACGCCCTCTTCCATTACAAACCAGTAAAAGTTCTTTTTTTTTTTCCTTTTTTTTTCTTCTAAATGTGCACCTCCTAAGGATAGTCATTGAGATAATGCCCAGGGTCGCTAAATTGCGCTTTATGCATAAAACATTGCCCGGGGGTACAATTATGTCTTTTCTTCGTTGACGCACATATCTGGCTCGGGGTTATAAAGAGCCACTGTAGTGTTCTTCTCTATAGTTCCTTTTACCCTCGCGGTTGCTACCTCTTTATGGTTCTTCCTTTCCGAATTGTTCTGTTAGCTGCAGCAGGTTGGATAAAGCGTTTCTTTCACATCCTTCCCGTCCCCTCTCTCCCCCATTCTGTGGGTGATCGCAATTTCTGAAATGTATGGAAGGGGATGAGATTTGAGGGCTTGTACTCCTCTTCAGCTTTGAGGAAGGCATCCGTGTATTGCAAGCAATTAATTAAATGACTCATATGACGTCTTATTTTAAATAGATATCTAGGCTTGGAGAGGAACCCATTAGGAACCAGCAAGAATAAAGCACCTTTCTCTGGTTTGGAAAGGGATGGAGAGGGAGCATGGCCAGGCATACTGGAGGTGTTTTCCTTAGAACACTCTCCCTGACTCAGTGAGGTTGGGGGAGAAATGGAAGGCAGGTATCCACCCCTGCATGCAGGTTAGTTTTTACTCAAGGCATCACACCTAAGATCACTATAGTATGCTCTTGAGATGGGGATGGTAACGATTCCTGCAACAAAGAAAAGTTTTGCTGTGGCTGCATCGCGTGTACGTGCTTTCTGCTTTGTGGAATGATAAACAAGGGTGGGGTACCTATTTCTTTTTTTATAATAGCATCTGCTTACATGAATAATGGTGGCAGCTCTGAGTGGAGCAGCCTCTGATTCAGGAAGAGAGCCCAGACCTTCTTATTTAAACAAGAAAACAGGAGGCAGACAAGGTTAATGTCCAACACGCCAAAGCCCAGCAATGTGGCTATGGAGTCACTTTGAGAGGCGGTAGGATTGATGATCCTTGCACCCTCTTTGCAAAACGAAGTGCGAGCTTTGTAATCTCCTTTCTCGCTTTGATTAAATGGCTGTGTAAATAGGATTACATGGAATAATTCCATTGAAAACTAGAAAGAGGTAGGTCCAGCCTGCAATGCTGTGGCAGTGGCATGGGTGACTCTGTGCTGTGCCGGCCAGAGATATTTGAGACAACTTAAGTATTTTAGAAATGTGACCTGTTTGGACCAAGTTAAAGTGCAGGCCCTTTTGGGGGAACTTGCCGCTGATAAAGGGTTTGTAGGCAAAAAGAGGGCAGCGCTCTCATTGAATGAAGGCATTCATTGTCTCGACTCTAATGACCTTCAAGGTTTCCTTTAAGGATACTTCTAGCAATTCACATTCTTGTCCCTGAAAAAGAGGACACTGGACATAGCACCAAAATCAATAAAATAATCCGTGAAGGAGGGGATTAGATTCACTTTCTTGTTATCAGGTCTCCTAATCTAAGAGTTGTAAAGAGATGGTCTGCACAACTCCGAATGTGCAGGGCATGGGGTAAGGGAAATGGACACTGAGAAAGATCCAGGCTTTTTTTTTTCCTTTTTAATTTGATGTTATCTTTGCCAGGGAGGAAAATCTACTTTCATTAGTCTACTGTAAATGTGGGAACAATACCAACTTCCGTTATAACCCCCTGTTCGGTGTGCTCTCGTTACCCAATAAGTGAAAAAGAATTTACTGGTAATATTTTTAAAGGATTTTGAATTAAAGGATAGAGCTTTGCAAGAATCCTGGGGACACCAGGCATTTTGAGCCTTCAGTCAAGCTAAATAAGTGTGAAAATTCCATCAGCAGCCACTTGGGGCTTGATGGATGACTCTTTGATTTACTTAGTACCAGTGATAGACTTCAGGATTTGGAAAATAAGTACACACAGCAGTCATGCTGAGCAGTCGGGACAATAAATTATGTCTTGTGTCTGCAATGAAGAATGTGTTTTGTATTTTTGAGATTTCTCTTTCTTTTGCGGCCCCCCTCCACCCCCATAGAGCATGAATTTACAGTATCTAAAGAAAACTGTGACTCTGGCTTAGAAACAGTATCCCTCTCAATAATAAGCAGCTATTTTTAAAAACACAAGACTCTAATATGTTGCATTACAATGGAGAGGCCATGTTGCAGCGCCGTTGGTGTGGTCAACATACTGTGTTCATGTTTATGTCTGTTATGCTTACGTCTTAGTGTCCCCTACAGGTTCCCATAGCTTATTGTGAGTGCTGTCAACGTCAGAAGTATCGAGACCGGAAAGATTTGTCTTGAAAACAATGCAGAAAGGTCTATTTTAGGAACACTGAAGCGCTCACGGAGGCAACAAATAGAATTTTAGCTTTGACTGTACTAAAAAATACCTCCTTTTTTTTTTTTTGGTCTATGAAATATTTGTCACGTGGGTGACAGCGGCAATTACAATCTAGAAAAATTAACATATTTGTGAAAAGAGCATTTTAAAATCTTGTCCTTGCAGTGGCTCCGTTTGCTGTGGGTGCTTCCAGTAGGCCTAATTTACGTAGCTTTTAATTGATACATTGTGCCAAGACTTTGAGACTCAAGTGCTAAGTCGATTACATTTAACATGAAACAGGGAAAATAACCATATGGAAATCTGAAAGCCGGTGCCAAACCAATTAAAATTGCTAAATTTTATTTATGTCTTAACTGCTGATGTGAAGATAGCAAATTGTGAGCGAACGTTTGTTCTTTAATGACAGACGATTGAGATCTTACCGCCACCTTAGGTAACATTTAAAAATAAAATCCCTGCCAAAATACCTAGTCTTTCAGCTTTGGAAGATTCTTTCATGTTCCCTTTCCGCTCTCTCCCTGTTGGTGGAGCACCCAAAATACAGTTAGTGGGAGGACTCTAGCCTGGGAAGACTTAGGCTTCAATTCCCGTTCTACCACTCGTGAGACAAATGACCTTAGGCAAGAGGCATCTTGGGATTTCCGTTTTGTAACCCGTGCGGTGTTAGTAAAATAGTTATAAAGATGTTTCTCAGATGGTGGCTGAAAGGACCGAAGAGGGGGTAAACAGCCTCTGTCCTGCTCAGTAGCTCACTGTAACTACAGTCTGAAACGCATTCCTGAGAAGGGAATTGCCCTCCCACGGACTTAAAATGACCCCTCAGGAGTAACGCGCGCGCGCGCGCGCGCGCGCGGAGAGCGAGCTTTTCTAAATCTGGATCCTTTAATTCAGTGCTTGGCCTTCCTTACAAGCTGCCATCTGATTATCAGTTGTCCTTAACACAGGCTAAACTAGGAATGGGCCGAAAGGAGGGTGGTGGCGTGTGGACCTGTGGATGGGAAGCTCTCTAAAGTGACTGAGAGGTCTAGGGTGGGAAACAGAAGTGGGAGCGTTCTTCTGATTTACTTTCCAGTCTGTCTACTTGTGCCAAGTTCATCATCTGTGGTTCTGAGGGTCTGTCTTCCTTAAGACTACGAAGAACTGGTCAGCTCCCATCCATGCTGTTATAATTGCTTTTCTCGGTGAGGATGTACATTTGTTTCTTCTTTATTGTCATAACCAGGCAACGATCTGTGATATTTCCCCCCACTACCCAAGTTTGGGGACCTCCCCCCCTCCATCTGTAAGTCGTGGAGAGGCATTGGGTATATAAATCTCCGAGTAGAGATCTGTTATCTGTTCAAGAACGTGAATCACCAGCAGCTGCAGGAATTCTGTGTTTGGTCTTAGTCACCTGTGTGGTGAGAGAGGACACCTGGATGAGATGCTTGAGCAGTGCTCCACACTCAGGGCTGTTGTGTACAGTCCCTGCTTCATGGAAACCATTTGACTCCAGCCTTGCTGTTTTACAGATGCAGAAAGATGTTTTGCCTTTTGACTTAATTATGGGCATACTGAAAACTGTTTACCGGGACTGGGACTGGTATTATTATTATCATCCTTCCCTACCTATTTCTGTCTATCCAGAAAAAAAAAGAAGGTGGGGTGCTTTTCATATAATTAGGCCTCCTGGTTGTTCTTCTTGTTGTTGTTCTTTTTTTTTCTGAAAGCATGGTGTGTGTCATCCAAGGGAAGACTGTTGCGTTTCCTGTGTCCTTTGGCTGTATTTTACTGATTGTTTCTAGGCTGACAAACTGGCTTGGCTATTAGGGGACTGTGTTCTTTTCCTTTTTAAAATTTATTTATACTTCATGGGCATTGGTGTTTTGGCTGCATGCAAGTCTGTGTGAGGGTGTCAGATCCCCTAGAACTGGAGTTACAGACAGTTGTGAGCTGCCATGTGGGTGCTGGGA